CATCCCTTTGTGGAGGGGAATGCATCAAAGCTTAAAGTGGGGTTGATGTGCTTCTCAAACACCAGATTTTAAACCAGTATCAGGGTTTCTTTTTCTTTTTCAAATTTTTATGCTTCTAGCTTCAGGGATAATTGAATTGTATCTGGAATTATTGGCTAGTTTCAATATTTATTTGCTGAACTGTCACAAATAATACCTTTGCTTGGAGACTTTTTGTGCATTATTTTAGATTCTTGACCTTAGAGAATCATCAGAAGTTGATGAGATGACCAACTTCCTTCAATACAGGATTCAGATCAAAGTATCTTTAACAAATGCTTATTCAGAATCTGCTCAAACATATCTAAATAAGTCAGCCTTGTGAACTGCTCCCTTTCTTACCATTTTCAACAAGAATCTCATTTCTTTCAACTTAAAAACCATCATTCGATAGTCTTAACCTGGGGAAAAGAAAAGATTCTTGCTTTGTCCTTTCTTAGTCATTTTTCCTGAAGGCATTATACCTAATTCCTGATTTCTTTAATGTTTTCCCACAGGTTTGTCTAAAATGTCTTAAAATGTGAAGTTGAAAATTGAACATAATACTCAACATAGTATCTGGAAATACGAAATATTATTTCCTATATGTAAAATATACTTTTGTTGATGTAACTTACTGCTGCATGGCATTTTTTCTACAATTGTGTTGCGCTGTAAACTAAAATTCACCTGTGATCAATTGCACTTCTAAGTTTTTTTTTTCTCAATAACTATTATATGAAAGCCCCCCCCCATCCCTCTACCCAATTCCATAACTGTGGATTTCATTTTTGTTTCTTAAAGTGAAGGATTTGGCATTTGTCTGTTAAGGTTCATTCTATTATTGGTAGCCCACATTTCTACCCAATTGGTGGATAGAAAATTTTATTTCTATTTTCTAGTGTAATAGCCAATATATATTAATCTATATATCAGCTATTAACATTTATTGTACCTCTTTCACTATGTTATCAATAAAAATATTGAAGAATACTGAATCCAGCATTAAATCCTATGGATGTCAACCCAGCTTCATGAATACAATTTTATTCAGCCCATTTATTATTAGATTTTAAAACAGTATGTACTTAGGTAATATAATTCAAACTAAATAGTATCAATTGCATTGTAACAATCTAGTAAATGTTCAGTCTCCTCCCTCTCTCCCTTCCACTCCCCCCTCTCTTTTCTGATATTTCTTCACTTCACCCAATTTTTCAAACATAATGAATAGAGATTCAGCCAGATCATTACACGTTTCTTTAGTTCACCAAAGCATTCTCTCTACACAGTACTTCCAAACTGGAAGATTTCTCCTGTTGCAGGTAACTAATTGTTAAAAAGTATTATGAATTGAGAGATGCCTTGTTCTTACAGTTATAACTAAGGCGGTTATGATTGCCAAATTCATAGTTTAAAGTTAGGCCAGTTTCATGACATTGCAATATTTCACAGAATAGAGACCCTATAAAAGACAAAAACAATATTTTTAAGATGTTCTTTTTAAAGATGCTGATTTTTGTAAAAATTTGAAAAAAATAGTTTCAAAGACACCAGTTATTTCATTGGAATCCTTGTATTGCTGTTCAGTTCACTAATTCCACAAGTTTATAAAGTGACTTGCATGAATGCTATGTCATTTTTGGCCCCAGGAATTTGATTTCTTCATTCTCCTGTTTTGACAATTGGCACATGTACATGAAAAAGATGAATTTCCTGAAAGATATGGATGGGGGTTATTGTAAAAGTTAAAAGAGCTAGGAATATTTTTACAAAAATAAATCCTTTAAAAAAGGCATCAGTTATTCATAGAATAACTATGTAATTTTTTTTGTTTTATTTTTGAATAATGTTGTCTGGCTCTAATTTTTATGGCAGAAATAGGCAAATATGCTGCTAGGTATGTGTACCTATTAGCTACACATATATAATGCTAACACATCCTTGACTAATACTAATTGGAATTGGTATTGTTCTGGCTTAAAATAAAGCTTATTTTGTTAAGTAACTGAGGCATTATAATTGGCTTGTTTATCTATTTACTATAGTTTGTTTTAAATCATGTATAGCAATATACACAAAAAAATGAGTAGAATGATAACTCATGTAAGTCCAAGGATTTGCTCAGCTTCAGAAATTCTTATCCATGGCATGGTACAGTTTCACTTACTATTATATCCAGAATATACAGCCTAGTAATCCAAACTCTGTTCTCCACCACAGATATTAAATGGTGGTCCCCTTGAGATGAGCAATTGTAAGGCACTTTCTTGGTCTTTGGATTGTCAAGCAATTCTAAGGGGAAAGTCTTTGATCCACTTCAGAAGTAATTCTAGCCCTTCTTGAGAACACCACATTAGTTTATTTAGATTGTCAGTCAATCGTTTTTGGTATTTCAGTGAACTTATTTGAAAGTAGAACAAATTTTTACTTCCTTTTCACCCTCCCTGGTCAATCTATTCTTGATGGCAGGGATTCCTATATCCTCCTACCTTCAAAATAATTTCCTTCACTTCCATTTCAGAGCTATGGTTCCACCATTTGAAGTAGGGACTCTCTGTTGGAGGCTCTTAGTTCATCACCATCCATAACTTATTTGCATATTTCATCAACTAGCTAGACAAATACTTGCAGTATTTTACATACTAAAAATGTGGGTGACTGAGCAATCTATTTCATTCTCTTTGATGTAAAGAACATGTTGATATAAGGGGATTCTTATTATTCCTGGGTCACCAGTAGTTAGGACACTGAGTAAATGCCATCTTTTACATTCTCAAATTGATTAGTTGGAAGTACTGAGTGATTCATGTTCTCAGCATGCCGAAGATAGAGAAATGAAAGCACTTGCTGGTTGGTTTTGAACTGGTTTCTGAAGAACAATGGAATAGAAAGAGCATCCCATAGAAATGTTTTTAAAGTTGTATTTTAAGGCATTGCATATATTTACAAATGTATTTGCTCCACTATTCTAATTTTAGTGTGGCCTATATTAGGCCATATTCAGGCATTATGTTATGGGTTAAAACTCACCATGTGAGTAGCAAGTATGAACCTAATCTCTCTGAAGTTCTGTTAGTGATATTTAATCTCAAAAATATCACAATGTTCACATGAGAAGCAAATTCTTTTGGCAAAAGCTTCCAACCAAACTATACCTAGGTAGTATGATCACTGAATTATTTATACTGATTTTTTTTCTAGTATACTGAAAACTGGAAGATATGTTCCACTGTTTGTAGTTTATTGCTTAAATGTTTTTACAGAATACTTTTGATTTTAAGATGAGCTTTTAATTTTACTTTTAAGTCACTATACACAATCTTACTCTTATTCTGCTCTTACAGTAATATACTTAAACCAATTGTTTGACAGATATATGTTATTTTTTTTATTAAAACATTTTTGTCTAAAACTTTCAGTGGGTTATTGATAATAAGATCAATAAGATCTATTACTATTTATTTCTTTTTATGTGATGAAGGTTTCAGTAAAGGAGAAATATTAAATATTTCTTTCAAAAGCACTATTTATTTATTTATTTGAATTTATAATTACCCAGCTGTACTACTGAAATTAGTATTGAATTATTAGCTACCCAACTCCAATCAAGTCTGGATAATATACAAAACTACATAAAGTTTTAAAGCAGAAACATCAAATCAGATGGACAACTAGACTAATATTATAAGCAGAAAAAGAAAAAAGAAAAAGAGGGGCAAACATGTCCAGAAGTAATGAAATACAAGTACATTCCCTATAATGTAATATACATGATGTACCTATATAATTACCTACTTATATAGATGATAAAACAGAAATTTTTGAAGAAGTTATATACTATTCCTAATTCACACGTTTACTGTTCCAGAAACTGTATTTAAACAAATTAGTGTACTGTCAGAACTATTCCAGTATTATTAAAATGTAAGTTAGGAACAAGGAGAGAAAGTAAAGATTGGGATGCCAGGAAACAAGATATTGTAATGGTGTGTGAGAATATTTGGAGACTGGAGAAGGAGGAGGAAGAGGAGGTGGAGGAAGAGGAGAAGGAGGTAGAGAAGGATGAACTACAGATTAAACATACGAAGAGAATGAGGAGACAGAATTATACAGCAGTAGGAAAAGGAAGGAAAGGAGGAGGGGGAGTGAGAAGAACAGACTAATTGGAACAAGAGAAAAATGAGGAGACAGATGCTTTTTCAAAAGGCAACTGGACTTTCTTGTTTTTCTTCAAAGACCTTTCACTTCTCATCAGGAAGCTTCTCCAGCTCTGACTTGATGGTGGGAAATGGAAGGATTTGTATTCATTGCAGATAGCTGATTATTTGCATTTTTTAGAGAGTCATTGGTCCACTTGGGGGTTTGTCTGTATTCTTAGGGTCACCTGAATAGCACAAGTAGGTGAGGAGCCTTCTTGAAACCGCTAAAAGGATTGTGTTGTGGAGCTGTGTTTTCTGCAGAATGTTTTCTGCAGGAACAACAGAATCCTTCCAGTCTAAAAATGCATCTCTATTCCTTCATCTTTATAGGCCATGAATGGAGATGTACTATTATCACTTCAGGCATGTATATTATGTTCTTTGTTCAGCAAACTTTCTTTGTAAAATATAATTTTATTGAAAGCTTTAAAATCAAAAATAAAAATTAATAGTAAGTAAAATAGCATACCGGAATAAAAGAAAAAAAAGAATAAAAAAAGAACAAAAAGAAAAAAATAGAGTAGAAGAAAAATAGAAACGAAAGTATAAAGTATCAAAGTATAAAGAAGTAGCCTATTTAAAGCAGTTATAAATGTAGATTCACTTTTTTCTATTTTCTTTTTTCTATAAAGTTACATTGTGACTTTCTTTTTATAATTTATATTCACTAATCATCAAAACCATAGATCATACATTCATTTTTTCTGTTTGATGAAAAAAGTCCACAAGAGATTTCCAATCAACAATAAATGTAGATATTGTATTTTGTCTATCATACAGGTCAATTTGGCCATATCAGCAAGTTCTATCACCTTCACCAACCATCCCTTCATTGTAAGTACTGCTGAATTTTTCTTCTTTAAATGTATAGCAATCTTGATGGTATTATTAGCTATAGAAACAAAATTCATGACTTTTAAAAAATTGTTCATCAGTCCCAAGAGGACTGGTTTCAGTTGAATATTAATCTTTATTAATTTATAAATTAGTATATGCATTTGAACCCCAATTCTTCTAGCTTTTTTTTGCACAAACATGAAACATCATTATAGTATCCTTCTTGTTTTTCTATTTCCAACGTAAATTTGAAATACCTGTATACATTCTTGTCATGTATCAACAGTACATAATTATATAAAAATTATCTTTAAGACTACAGCATCAAGTAAATTTCAGTTCCTTCAATCCCATATTTTTTCCATTGTTGCATCTGTATTATTCATTCTTTCACTTGTCTTCTGCTTCAATAAAATTTTATACATATAGCAATTATATGTTCACCATTTGTACCCAATTCCTCTTCAAAGTCAGTCTTCGACTCAACACCATAAATTCTTTTGTCTATTTTGAATGTGATAACCTATAAAAGAGGATATTTGTAGCTAAAGGTTGAAATTAGGATTCCTCTGAGCTTGCTTGGTTTCTTGCAGATGTTTTATTACCCAAACTAGGTAACATCATCACTGCTGTCAGTGGTGATTACACTGATGATGTTACCTAGTTTGGGTACTGAAAGATCTGCTAGAAAGCAAGAAAGCTGAGAGATCACCAAGAAATCCTCATAATCTGACAATCATAAATAGGAAAAGCATTGACAAGCATGTCCCTTTGCCATCAGCTGCTATTTTTCTTTTTCTTTTGTATTTCTCTTGGTAGAATTATAGTAGCTCATGCCACGTTAGCCATGTCTGTTCATCTATTATTTCTCATTTAGAAAATTTGATATTTTTTTCCATTCTGTCCCAAAAAGTTGTCAATTTATTTATTAAATGACTCAAACAACTTTTTACCTAATTGCTTAAAGAACCCTGATGTAATTCTTCTTTCTGCAGTTGACACTAACAAACTTATCTTCCCTTGTCTTATTTTTGCTGCTTTTTAAATAATTGCCATTCAACTATTATAATTCAAAAGTGAAAGTGTCTCAGTTATAAGAAGGAAAGCCAAAAAGCAAGCTTTCCTCCCTCTGCCGTTCCCCCTCCCTGTTATTTTCGTATCAAATGATGCTCTGTGGTTACATTCCAATCACAATCTGACTTATATTACCTTTATATTTAGATTAAAAATTCATCAATTGTCTAAACTTTTTAAAGTTAAACAGATAATATTCTGTTCGTCAGGTCAGGTTCAAGTGTTAATTTAATTGCAATATTTCAAAAGCACTATCACCGAAATTTACTGTCCCCTTTATCCATTTTAAACTTTCTTATATCTTATTCCTGTTAAGCTTTTAGGCTTTTTAAAAGCATTTTTCCCCTTCTTTAATCCAAAAAGAACGTTGACTCACCAAGTAAATTTCTTTTATCCACCGCTTGGAACGTCTCTTTTTTTAAAATGTTGATTGCATCTGGTAATGATTAAGAAAGTGAGGCTTTTGAAAATCTCTTATCTAAGTAGCTTGCATTACAGCTGTGAACTTGATTGAAATCCCTCTACCCTCCGCCCCTCAGCTCATGAATCGACCACAAATATCTCAGTTCTTGCAGTCTCTTTACAAGGATCAGCTGTCCAGAGTGCCGGTGGATAATGTCACAATCTTTGTCTAGAAGACTGTACTTACCAGAATTTACTGGTTGGCTGGCAATCTCCACTGCAACTGTTCCCACTCCTTTAGGGACATCTAGTCTTCCATAGAACCTCATTCAGAACTCCATCCAATAGTTTCTCAAGCCATTCATTCCATAAGAATTTACATGTAGGAGTATTTGGCACATCCCTATGTACCAAATATTTTATGTTGCTGTTGTATTATTTTATTACCTTTCCAGTATATCACTGCTTGAGGCATTTCATGTTAAGGAACTACATGAACAATATATTAGCTCTATTGTTCCTAATATATATGGTTTAAATCTTCAGGATAAGTTAGATATTATTTCCATTATTAATTTAAATAAATTTAGATTTTGTTATATTATTTTATTAAATTTGGGTTATTTTATAGATCTAAATAAATTGTTCTGAATTGGTCTTTATTTTTCTGCTAGAAAAAATTTCAATAATACAAAATAATAATTCTTAAGTTACATAAAAACTATATTTCAGATTAGAAGGATGTGATATGGGGTATTTTGACAATCAGAGCAAAAGAAGTTCTATACCATTGGAAAACATTGAGAGGTTATAGATTAATTGCTTATTGCAACTGGTAATATACTGCTATTGGATAATTTATTTAAAAAATTATATTTCCTGAATTATTCTCCTGACTATTGGAAGAAAACGTTGTTAGTCTTTGTGTATTGCATATTATGTCAATTTTTCCTGCATTAAAAAAAACACTGAAAAATGTAACTTGCAGAAATGTGTAAAAGTTTGGCGACTTGTGAATAAGTCTATTTTTATAAATTGTATAGGTCAAAGAGACAGAGGATTTATCTGCTGTGTATGAAAATTGACTGGAAAGGAAGCTGGCTTTAGAAGTTCCTTTTCCAATTTCAGCCCTTTTTTCTGCTTTGACCACAGTGATGGTCTGAGATTCTGTCCTTACCATTTTTATCACAGTTGTGATTACTGGACTCTCCAGTTTGATTGCCTTCCTCCAGACCATTATAATACTAAAACCACAACAAAATCCACAACAAAAAGTTTTAGCCATTGTTCCTACTAGAAAGTTACAAAATTCTTATTAACTTCAGCAAGAGAGAAAGAGAGACAGACAGAGGCACAATGAGAGAATAAGGTGTTAATCAAGCTTCTTGATGACACTAAATTGGTCAAAGTAGTAAATATCTCCAAAGGAATCTCTGAACTTAAGGGAGTGTGCAATTCAAATGATAGAGGTCGTTCAATATGAGCAAGGGATATACATGGGTGACAAAAATCCTAATTACACATACAAACTAATGTAATCAACTAGCAATGACTATCAACTAGCATAAATATTTCATGATAAATATTGACATACTGTATATCCACTACAGAAAAGTCAAGCAGCACATTAGAAATAACAAGGAATATATTGGAAGTATTGAAAATAGAGCTTCCAATATATCAATATGTGATTTATACATCTGGAATGTTCTTTGCATTTCTGGTCCCTTCATTTCAAAAAGGATATAGCAGAGTGAAGATTTGAAGAAGGGTAGCTAAGATGATCAAGGGGTTACAAAGAGTGACAATTGGATCAGTTAGAACCTTTTAATTTAGAAAGGAAGGAGGTGAATAGGAATTGACATGACTGAAGTGTATAAAAGGGAAAAATGGACAAGGAAAAGCTATTTTCCTATAGCTATAAATACTAGAAGCAAAGGTAATCCAATGAAACTGAGGCTTGGGAAAATCAGGAAAGGAAAAAAGATATTCTTTTAACATAATTTAACTTTGAAATTCACTACCATGCATTATGGTGCTGGCTACTGGCCTGGCTGACTTAAAGAAAAAGGATTGGATCAATTTTTGGAAGTCATGGAAATATGATGCCTATTAGCCTTGATGACAGGGTAACTGCCTCTGAATGCCATCTGCTAGGATACTACTGGGCTTCTTTGTTCAGTTAGTTGGCCACTGTGCAAACAAATTGCTGGAATAGGGGCTCAATCTAATAGATGCTTGCTTACATTCTTAGAATTTTAAGATATTGTTATAAGTCTAACCCAAAGGAATGGTTCATATCTGCACTGGAACAAGATGGTAAAATGGCTTTCAGATTGTTCACTTTTTTCTTATGGCAAAATTTGGAAGCTCAGAGTTAAACAAGTAATGAACACATAGGATGAGGTTGTTTGTCTATGTTTGCTATTAGGCAAAGAACAGTAATGGATGGAGATGCTTTTGAATATTGCAATCGGACATCAAACTGTTATTTAGTATATTATTAAATGTATCTTTATCGGTTTGGTGGTAATGAAATGCCGATGAGAGTTTATGCCTGAAGTTATCAACTCCGAATCTGATTTATTCTGAAGTATTTAAGCAGAAAGGTGGAATGCAGTAGGCATTTTCTTCTCTGTCACAAACTATATTAGATTCAATCAAAAGATAGAAAAAGAATCATCTTTGATTTATCTGGGATAAATCTGTATAAAGTACTCTTACTTGGACCTTCGTGTCTTAGAAAGAATTCTTGAAATGATTCACCTGGAGTATCATGGAAAGGAAGATGTTCCTGCTATATGAGACAAAAATAATACCCTTTGAAGGAACACTATTTGGCTTTTTTCTAATGCTTTATATATAAAGGCATTGCATATAATGGCCCATGCAATTCAAGAGCTAAGAGAAATATATTCATCAAATAGCAAATGTTTTTGTGTGGCATAGTGGATTACAAAATAATCCTATAAATTCAAATATGGTACATTGACATTACAATGAACAGTCTCAATGATACTACTAAAAACTGCACTTACTATAAGTTTAATGTGCATACAAGCTCTTATGTATATACAGTGGCTTTGAATAGTACTAACAATGTGTGACAACTATTTTGTTTTGCTCCATCTAAACATTAACACATAGCCACAATGAATACTTGAAAGTGTAAGATATTTACAATCAGTAGCTGATTCCATCTATCCTTAGTAGAGTTTGCGCACATTTCAAATTGACCTCAGACTAGACAGAAAACATCTTCATGGTGCTAAGCTATGGTTTAAGAACAAACAAATACCCACTTATATCATGTCTCATGGCACTCAACTCTGCCTCAAACCTTTAATCTGTGGGTCTGAAAAAAAAATCATATGTGAACCTCAAAAGCTTTTATTACAGGAGGTTTTGAAGTTGTAAATATAGACCACGTCAAGGAGTTGAAATAATGCAACTGGGTATGTGATTGTGGAGAGAAAAATTCACTATGCTTGTGAATTTCACAGATTTTCTCCCCAGATAAA